CTCCTCCCTTTCCTCCTTCTCCACCTTCTCAACTCGTCCTCCTCCCTTTCCTTCTTCTCCCCAACCTCCTCCTCCTCCACCACCTCTTCCTCATTCTCCACCTCCTCCTCCTCATCCAGCTCCTCCTCCTCCTTCTCCACCACCACTTCCTCGTCCTCCTCAACCTCGTCCTTATCCTCCTCCTCCTCCACATCCTCCTCCTCCTTCTCCACCTCCTCCTCCTGCTCCTCCAGCACCACCTCTACCTCCTCCTCCACCTCTTCTTCCGCCTCCTTCTCCATCTCCTCCTCAAGACTTTTATTTTCCCTTTCTTCCATGATCGTAATGATCAACTAAATCACCAATAATTATCGGCCAAGTATAAAAAGGCTGCCTTAATTCATTTGAAGTAAGTAGTCTCTGCCAATAATGGCACAATAAGGGATTATCTTTATACTTGGCCGATAATTATTGGTGATGTAGTTGATCATTACGATCATGGAAGAAAGGCAAAATAAAAGTCTTGAGGAGGAGNTCCTCCTTCTCCACCACCACTTCCTCGTCCTCCTCAACCTTGTCCTTATCCTCCTCCTCCTCCACATCCTCCTCCTTCTCCACCTCCTCCTCCTGCTCCTCCAGCACCACCTCTACCTCCTCCTCCACGTCTTCTTCCTCCTCCTTCTCCATCTCCTCCTCAAGACTTTTATTTTCCCTTTCTTCCACGATCGTAATGATCAACTAAATCACCAATAATTATTGGCCAAGTATAAAAATGCTGCCTTAATTCATTTGAAGTAGTTTCTGCCAATAATGGCACGACAAGGGATTATCTTTACACTTGGCCGATAATTATTGGTGATGTAGTTGATCATTACGATCATGGAAGAAAGGCAAAATAAAAGTCTTGAGGAGGAGAGGAGGGAGGAGGAAGAGGTGGAGGTGGTGGTGGAGGAGGAGGAGGAGGATAAGGACGATCTTGAGGAGGACGAGGAAGAGGTGGTGGAGGAGGAGGAGGTGGAGGAGGAGGAGGTGGAAGAGGAGGAGGAAGAGGTGGAGGAGGACGAGGAAGAGGTGATGGAGGAGGAGGTTGGGGAGAAGGAGGAAAGGGAGGAGGAGTCGATAAGGTGGAGGAGGAGGAGGAAAGGGAGGAGGAGTTGAGGAGGTTGAAGAGGAGGAGGAAGAGGTGGAAGA